TCTTTTGCAAACACCGATAGTTGGTCTGTGTGCAAAGTCAGCACTCCTATTTTTCCAAATTTATAATTTATTTCTAAATGTCAGAAAAATATTGAGTAATTTACTGAAATGTTGGGAAAACAACATTCTTCAGAGTCAATGTAATTAGAGAGAGAGATAAAAAGCTGTATGTAGCTGTCAGTGACTATATTTTTCTAAAGGTAATATCTGGCAACAGGTTTACTAAGGTGAACAGCCTGGAATTTCAAAGCAATATCAATTAAACCAATATTACAACAGAATGACAGCAGTAAACTATTATGTATACAATCTTTCAAATGGATATATAGTGTATGATAGAATTATAAATAATTTGATTTAGAAAAATAGACTCTGGTCCAGACACCGGTGGTACAATGCAATTTTGAGGTAGATTTCAATAAATCCAGTATTTATTGCTTGAGTTTTTTATATGCTCAACATAGTCAAATATAATTATTTATATTAAGACAAAATACATAGTATTAAATTTCTATAAACCATTAAAAGCATGAAAGAAGCATTTAAACATATATAACGTTTCGTAGTACAATTTGATTGTGAAAGATTTCAGAGCACATTTCAATTACTATGTAGTAAGTTAGATTAATATTGTCTAGAGAGAATGGACAATTTTACTGTGTCTTTTGGGAAACTTAGAGGTTCTGATTTTCAATAATTTCCAAGGAGTAATGATCTGCCAGTGAGGCAATCAAATTTTTGGAGACAAAAATCTCCTTTTGGCTTCACTATTTGTTGACAAGAGCTCAGTGTTCTGCAAGACACAGCTCAAGCCTGTTTTTGATAAGAAAGTATGAATTTGTAGTTGCATAAGAATGTAAGACTATACAGGAGGCAGAATTCTCCTTTTCTTAAGCTGGATTGCACCTCACAACGACATGCTAAATGCTAGATCAGTATGCCATACAGTATGGCTACAATCATGGCTTTTGCATATTCTCACTGTTCAAAGGGAAAATGGTAATGCTTCATTTTCTTAACAAATATCTGTTCAGAAATGGATGATTTTATGTAAACTTCTGTTGCAGGCCAACAAAAAAGTCAATTATCCTACAACATGGGTCTAGTTAACACTAAGAACACGAACCTCAACTGGATGATTTGTTCCAACAGATTGTTTCTCTTTGGCTTCCTCAGTAATTTGTGAGAGATAAGGTTGTAGAAAATATAGTCCTGCTATTCTACCATGTTCTTAAGTGCCTATATATTTAATTTGTATTTATATACAAATTTAAGAACCCTGCAGTTTTACTTGGTGGGCCACATCCCTTTGCCATCAGCCCAGGAATCACTATTGAAAATTATTATTAAGGTCCCTGACCACAGAACAAGTATTTCTTCTGTGTTGACACTGTTGATTCATAGTTCCAAATGGAAGAGTGAATCTAGCTTCATCTGCTGTGTTAGCTGGATATCTAGATACATAGAAATCTGCTGTAAGGGCTCCTTTGTTAACGCCAACCTTTTATATTTTAACATGTTTGCAAAGTGTCGTTGTTCAAATGTATATAAGCCTCAAATGCACCTTGTACTACTCAATGAATCTCTGTTCAGAAGCAACTTAGTTTGCAGATCAAAGTTAGATTTTGCTTATACTGAAGTTCAATATATCTAATAAAAAATTTGAACAATATCTAAAATATGTTCCTGCCAGCCAGCTACATAGTATGAACTGCATATAACTGCATATTATAAACCAGCGTTTACCCTTTAAATGAAAAGTCTGAGTTTTACTAGGTTTTGAATAAAGATATTTGTGTCTTGTTTAGAAATTGAATAGTATCACATTTTTTAAGACTGTTTCATTTGTTACTCTTCTTTCCACAATAATCAGACAGTGAAAAAGAAGCCAGAGAGCTGAGGTGAAAGTAATGGGGGACAGTAATCGGAAGTCATCAAATCGGGATACTCTGGCCAAAGAGAGAGATCAGCAAACAGATTGAACTGCAATTTTCTGAGGAAGGATCTTGTCCCTTCACTTCCTGCAGCTACACGATATTCTTATCAGTCAAAGAAAGCAAGATTACAATTTGTCCACTCAATCACATACCATGAGTTATTTTTAACCTACCATAAACATAGCACCTGTCTTTTTTAATCCTGATGGTCAACTTTTCAGATAATGGAAACTCATGTAGCTGATTATTAGTGTAGCAAATATATTTCCTGTTGGTCTACACAAACAGAAAAATGGTAATTTTCCCATGGCTTCTCTGTGGGTAAAATTTTATAACTTCAGTTTGACAAGGGAGAATAACAAACAAAAGGAAGGGAAGGAAGGACAGTGATACATAAGGGGAGGATTGTGGGGCACGCTTTCTTATATACAAGTCTCTTCCCATTTTTTGTTTGTTTGGTTTCTATTTTTATTACCCTGTTGCTTATACTTTCTTAAATATCATTCCTAAATATACAGACATTGTTTCCTTTAAACTGTACCAGGAAGCTTGACAGGAGGTTCACAAGAGGAGCAAAGAAGACATGCAAAGTTGCTTTATTTTAAAATTGCTTATTATTTAGTTCCTTCCTCAATTTTAAAAGACAGCATGTTTCTGCAATCCAAATAACTTCAGATGTAAGTTCTGTGCTGGGGTTTTAAATTCTCAGATGCTTCTGTTTTTGACAAGAGTTGGAGGTATACAACATGGATTGGAACCTTGGAGATTTTTTCTGGTGATGTGTTTCCAGTTTGGTTTTTCAGAGGGATGCATCTCTACTTAGAAAATCTTTTTTTTTTTTTTTTTTTTTTTTTTTTAAACTAAAATAAATGCTCTAATTGATTTATATGTGTGCACTTTAAAAAACTTATCTGCAATTAATATTTATTCAAACCAAGTGCTTATTTTAAATCAGCTCCAGCCACTGTCCTCTGTTTTCCTACTGTCCTGACCAATATACCAAAAAATAATACTATATATATTAAGTCTGAATTGTAGCTATTTTAAGTTATTAGGTACAAAGTTCTCAGTTAAATGTAGGGTACAACAATTAAAGTGATGTAAGAGACAGAATAAAAACAATTTGATTTGGAGAGCTTAAGCTGAAATTTGTGAGAAAAAAATAAAGATAAACACTTTATTTATAAACTGATAAACTGATAAATTCTGATGTGAAATAACTGAGAAAAAAACCCCATAATTAAATCATAATTCAAAAGTGAGCTTTAATTTTCTAGGACATAGGAGGGTTTTTCCAATTTATCCAATTTCAAATGTATAAAATATTAAATACAATGCTTTTGTGTTTTCTTTTATATACATGTGTGTGCATATATATGTATATATCTATACCCACATACACACCAACTGACTATTTATAATGTACCTTAAAGCTTCTGGCAAATATTCTGAAATATCTGGAAATGGACAGGAAAGTACTTGTGACTATCTGTTTTGAAGCTTTACTTTTTCTCATGGTCATCACTAAGATTGGTCATTATAATTCACTTCATTATTTTATAAATAATATCCACAAAATTGAACCTGCCTCTAATGTGAACTCATGTGATTGCAATCACCTTGGAAATCCCACTCCTGGCTGCAGGGTGAAGCATGAACTCTCTTGGATAGTGCTTTAGCATCAGGTGTATGACAAGTGTTCAGCTTTACCAGGACATGGCAGGGGGGTTGAACTAGATGGTCTCCAGAGGTTCCTTTCATCCCCTACCATTCTGTGATTCTGTGATGTCACTAAATATGAACCAATGAAGCAAGATGATTGTCCAGCATCTCTTCCTGATATTTGCCAGTAAAAACCAGTCTTACCTTTGGGCTACAGATTATCTCCATCTATTAAGTCCCACCCCACAAAGTGAGTGACCAAGAATCCCCAGTCAGATTCCTAAAGCAGCTATCACATGCCTCTCTAGCAGCCAAGTGAAATCCTCCTCTGATTGCAGGGCAGCTCAGATAAACAATGGGATCCCTTACCAGCTGTTTTACCTTATAACTGGATAAATTTCTGCAGCAGTACTGAAGTATATGATAAAGGATAACTTTGAGTGTCCAGTTTTCACTAATTCTGGACTTCTAAGTTTCAGACCTAGTAATGTAATTTATAACTTGCCCACAAATTCAATTTGATAACCGTGGTAGAAATTCATCCCTTCAAGAAGGCTTTTGTTAGGTCAGGATTTTCAAACTGTATTCATAAACTCCATGCTTTTTAGACTGGCAATGGGAGTGTGATGAAACAAGGATGCAAGGAAGCAGAATGTAAGCAGGATCAACCAGTCAGCATTTTGGCCTCCGTGTAACAACACATAGGCTGTATAAAATCAGGATTAGGTCCAATGCCTACGGAGGTTTATACACTAGTTTAAAATTAAAGATTGGTACCTTTGCTGATTCTTTAACCCTGAACTAATGTAACTGAGACAGAAAGAATCTAGATTTCTGAAAAATATGGACAGTTCTGTTTTTGCATAAGAAATAATGTTAACAATCTTGATTATATGTTGCACTTTATTATTTTCTTTGCAGTACTATTTCACTCAGCTACAAGTGTTATTAAGAAGCTAACACACACTTGCTGCATATGATCAACACTGAGGAGCTGAATGTAACAAAGAATTATAAAGTTATTCTATCTCCCATCAAACTAATAGGTATTTTGCTATATGGTATATTATTTCATTTAAAAAAACAGTTTTAATGAAAAAACCTCAAAATATTTAATAATTTTTGGTAAGAATTGCTATAGCTTATCTAGTAATAAAATTCTAAGATTAAAATGACTTTGAGTTCTTTGTGTAATTCTCAAAAATACAATTTCAATCATTAGTGAGTTCCTCTAGTCAAAAATTGAATTTTAGACAGGTATTACGTTTCATCAGGGAAACTCTCTCTTGTATGGTTTGTATGAGAAATCTGAGCACTTGAATTTAAATGTTTATTTTTAACCATAGAGGCTTTGCTGGAATCCAGACCAGAAGAGTCACTACTATAAAATAAATTTCTTACCTGTGACTGATGTCCAGCTCTAACAAAAGTACAGAGCGGATCAAAGGCTCCTGTTCCACAAGCCAGAAGATGTGTTCTGTTGTATCGGTGAAGGACACGGATGTAATTTGCACATTCATCCTAGTTTATACAAAAAATAAACACAGGAAAATATTCAAATTTTTTTATTATTATTATTTTTTAGTATCTCAGGTGCCCTTAGGTGATACTTTGCATATTGAAAGTTTCTATTCTGTTAAATATAACATCTTAGTTCTCCCACTTCACACTAGTACCTCAGTGTCACCAAATTCATGGATGGACACTTTTGACAGTAAAAATGTAAGATTAGAGCACTTATATATTTATTTTAGGTGCTTAATCAGTTAGAAGTTATTACATTATAAAACACACTGTGCTTCTTCAATCTCAGATATATTCTGCAAATATAAATATTTGTTTTACTAAGAATTATTATTGGCTGCACTAGACATTAGACTCAGAGCATAAGATGTGAATAGTCAACAAATGGCTTATCTCTCAAGTTTAATAAACATCTCAGAAAAATAACTCTTTTTTAATACATTTTTCCGTAAGACCACATTAATTTCTTGTGTAATTAATTGCTTTTTTTTTTTTTAATAATCTATAGCCTCATGCTTTGTCTGTTCCCACTGTTCAAACCCTCCTTTGAAGAAGTAGTTTTTCATTTCCCCCAGGCCAATACTCTGGGACTCATTAGTGTATTTGCAGCTTCATAAATATTACAATTAAAAAATTTTCAAGCATCCCTTTGAGATGTGGGGTCATTATCCTTCCTGTGCTAAACTAGAAACGGAGACAGTGAGAAAAAAATATCCATTGATTTTGGGACTCCTGGGACTTTGTTTTACAGAGTATTTAATGTTTTGTAATGATTTCTACGTTTGGAGAAAATTTCTGTTCATTTCCATTCATTGTTCAACATTTCTGCAACTCAGACAACGGGTTTTAAGACAATCACATCAAGTTTAAGAAAACAATTATAATGAGTTAAATCTCAGCTGACTTTAGCTGCTCTAAAGTTTAAACATGTAATTTATGGTATTCTCCTAGGCTTTTTCAACAACCAATGCAGAAGGTCAGACAACTCCAAAAGGCAATTAATTCTATCCTAAAATTAATGTGTAAAAGAGAGTGGAGGAATTTCCTTTTTTTAAAATTTTCTGTCTTTCACTGATGACTACTCTAGTTTTCAGACTGCTGTATTTATATGAGAATATAAATATATTCTGGGTCTTATTGACCATCTGTGAGAACTTAATGTCACAGAGGAAGAGTCTGCAGCAGAGCCATGGCAGAATTCAGCTCTTGTAAATCCACCTTGGGTTCAAAACTTAGCAAACATCTTTCTTCTTTGTCCAAACCCTTGTGTCATTCAATGTAAGTCTTACAACTTCTGCAATAAATAAATAAGGATCATAAGGAAAAATTCTCCTTTGCTACATGATTCTCCTTAATCATTCAGACCGAAGATATATCATGCTAATTTAAAGAAGCAGGTAAACTACACTGACAGGTAACCTGTTGTGGAATCAAATATTATGTATATGCAAGAGACATATCAACCTTGCAATATTTTACTTTTAGAAAGTCCTAATTCTTAACTAATTTATTCCTTTTTTTTTATAAAGGAAACTCAAAAGTAAAAGGTCTTCATTCATATGGCATCCATGTGGTCTCTCACCTGGACAGAATTTTTTAGGCCCACTAAAAAACACCTGCTACTTGAATTATCAGATGAATTGAAAGAAAAAATTAGTTGAGATTTGTAGGATGTGATCCTCTATACATGGATCAGCACTAGAAGACAGAAGTACCCACTTGAATGTGCATTTCACAAACATCTGATGACTGATAGTAGTAGAATGGTATTACTCAGGAATTTTAAGAGACTTTGCAGTTGTTAAATAGATACTTTATTGGGCACCAGTGCTGTTCCTCATTATCCCTCCCCTCCAAGTGTGACCTTCCTGACTTATCCCCTCTGTTCCCTCTCAGTAGTGGTCTGGTCTTTATTCCATGGTTTCCTTTGTTATCCACATATGTCTGCAGATCTTGATATTTGTCTCAAAAGGACTATAGAGGACAAGAGATTTTAGGATTTCTCTTTAAATGGTCAAAAATTACACATTTTTTCTCCTGTAAACCTTCATAGAAATGCCTGAAATTTTCTGCAGAAAAAAAAGAACAGGATGAGGCAGATACCAAATATAGAAAAAAGTCATTCTAAATGGCTAGACTTTATAATTTATAAACAAATGAAAAAAAGGTGCTATTTTGGGAAGTATCACGCAACTAGGCGTTGCTGCTGGCCCCACTAATAATATTCTGTATACGTCACAAGGAAGAGATGCATCAGCCAAAGGAACATTAAAATAAGTTTTCCTCCTACTATATTAATTACTTAAATGTTGTGGTTGTCTTTAGGAAGCTCCATAGACATGTTAATAGATCTGTGGAATTTTATCAGTCTGAAACTTCTCAGTGTGAAGGAGTTAGTCATCACTATAGAATGTGATTTCTATATCTGAATGTTTTCCTGTTCTGATAAAATAATTGAAAGGATCAAAAGCTCTCACACCACAGGCCAACAGGTGTGTTTCCTAGCACACTGGATGAGAACAGAAGGATTTTTTCCTTGGCTTGATCTGAATCAGAAAGGTGTGGTCTAAGATGGTGCATGTGTTGTTACGATAAGGCTTTTCTAACTATTCTATTAAGTTTGTTACAAGCTCTCTGAAACTCTGTTTATGGCTACAGCACTTGCAGTTTTACTGCTACAAGATGAACTGATAACTTTTAAAGGTTGTAAGAGCTTGTAAAAGTGCCCTATTCTGTTATATAGAGAAAGGTAGAAAACGCATGAAGTACCTCAATACTGAGGTGCTTATTACAACATTTTCAGTTCTACTAAATATTAATTATACACTGAATAAAAGACCTTTAGCAAAAGGAAATAAAGAAAGAAACAGCATGGAAATAAGCAAAAACATTTGAAAGAGCTCTGATGAATGCTGTTTGGTTTTTTGTTGTTTTTTTTTTTTTTTTTTTCCTGAGACTTTACAGTGTGAAAAATAATATTCAGAACTCTGAAATGGCAAAGGGTTGATACTAAGACATTACACTATTGAGACAATATTGGGTTTTGGCTACAAAAAATGAAGGTGAAAAGGAAAGTAATAGGAAAAGTTTTACTTCTAATTTAGATTTCTTTCAGGTTAAGCAATTTAACTTACTGAATACTGAGCATTCTAATGAAAATTACTAAGATTTCCCTAGAATTAATTAGTCTTAGTCATTCACATTGTCCTACATATAATCAGGTCTCATGTGAGGATTAGAATAATGTCTGGTATTGTTTGGTATTACAATATTTCCAGCCTTTACAATATTATAATATTTTTCTTAAAGATTCCAGTTCCAGATTCTTGTGATTATTTAAAAATTCAGTGGTATTCTTTTAAAAAATAGATTCATCTAACTTTCACAATACATAGGCATGTGGGAAACATGAATTTTTTAAAAGATCATATTCATTGCAATGCAAATTTGAAGACTTATAACAACAGACTAGATTGTAAAAGATTTTTAATTTTAGAGAACCTCATGAGTCTGAGGGGGATACCTTTACATTAAATTGGAACATCAGTACCTATTTCCGTATTTATTTAACCCAAAGAATATTGTCAAAGTATCAGAAAATAAATCCCATCATGTAGTGGTGAAGGAAAGATGACAGAACTTCAACTGCAATAACAGCCTGTGCTGAGAGGTAGTATTAAATAAAGCACAAAGAATTTAGGGTTTGGATTAATTTAATATGACCACAAAGTCTGAATATTGTAGAAAAACACCATTTTCTACTAAAGCCACCTGAAATTCTCAAGGGTACAAAACCATTTAGAAAAATGCAATGAATTTGTCAGTTACCTCAAAAAGGATCAGTTCTAGGCCAGATGAGTGTAAGGAGTAAAGTATCATGTTTATTATTATTATTATTATTATTATTATTATTATTACTATTACTTTCCAATCTGGTTCACTGATTCCCTTGATGTGGACAGTTCTCATGCTTGTA